ACTTGGACCGTAAAACCTGTTAAATCACTTGGACCGTAAAACCTGTTTAAATCCCTCACACTGAACAGCTACAACAACATCCTACTGCCGTGGCTTTGATACAGGATCATCGCTGTTATTATCTACGGATGCTGCAGCTGCTGCTGCTGCTACTGCTGCTGCTGCTTCATACGGCTACTACTGCTGCTGCCGCTGCTCCATACTCCTACTGCTGCTGCTCCATACCGCACTGCTGCTACTACTGCTGCTGCTTCATTTACTTGCCATCTCTCTTCACTTGCATCTCTTTTACTGAAACACTGATCAGCTACGACAACATTCTACTGCTGTGGCTTGATACAGGCTTATTACTGTTAATCTCTAAGGATGCTGCTGCTGCTGCTGCTGCTGCTGCCGCGGCTTGATACAGGTTATCGCTGTTATTATCTGAGGTACTGCTGCTGCCGCTGCTGCTACTGCTACTGCTGCAACCCACTCTCTCAGAAGCTTATCCTGTTTCTAATGGATGCAGCCCGGCTGAGTATGCCGCGCTGCGCTGGCCTCGTACCTATGCTCCCAGGGTCGCTTCGGCGGTCATGCTTCATCTCTCTACCTAAATCTTCTGATTCTATCAGATGCAGCCGGCCGAGTAGCTGCGCTGAGCCGTCAATCGGACTCCTAATCAAAGGCATCCATACCTGTATTCTTCACTCTTCTGATCGCAGGCTCCCCCATCGTGCTGCCCATCCTGCAGCAGCTCTGAGCGGCACTGAACTCCGGCTCTTCTTCCAAGTACATGTCTGCCCTCCTCGCAGCATCTTCCTGCTCGCCTTCTATGGCTTCTCTGCATAAGCGTTCACTACTGCTCACTCAACCTTCAGGCGGTCCCAGACGCGGCTTCCCGACCATCCTACTATCCTGATTATCTACTCTCCGACCCAAGATTCTAAGCGTAAGGGCGCCTGCAACATCTATGGCCCTCTCCGATATGTCTCTGCCCCTATAGGTCTCCGCTTCTACACGGACGTGCCCCTTCCGTGGGTTTTGGGGGATTCTTCCAGGACCATCGGGTTGCCGGGCCGTGGCCGCTACTTCCACCGGAGCATCTCCTCTGCCCTACACGAGATATTCCCAGTGGTCGTGGCCTGCGCGCCGTGGAATCACACGTGGCAGAGAAAGAGGATCCCTGTCATGCGCGATAATCTCGACGTAGTGGAAGCATACACAAAGGTCGCTCTTTTTCACCCAACATAACGTCCCCTGACCCTTTCAACTTCATCTCAAACATTCAAAGACCAAGGCGCCTGCAACATAATAATAGCTCGCTCCGACACATCTCTCTCAGACAACCTTCCCATGACAGCAACCTGGTTCAGAGCTCAACTAAGATCCCTACTGCTCCTCTGCAATTTGTCTCCCCAGCTCTATACAGCCCACTCCTTCAGGATAGGCGCTGCCACGCGCGCGGCCTCGCTGGGGCTCCCCCACCTCTCCAACAGCTGGGGCGCTGGTCCTCTTCGGCTTTCTCCGCCTACATCAGGCCAGACGCGTCCGCCATCCTGGCTGCACAACGCCTACTGGCTTCCTCGCAAGCTCCCAGCAAAGCAATACGAAGCAAAGTAAGCGAAGCAATAAGATTCTGGTGGCGGCACGCACTTCTCAAACACTCTCCGCTGCCGCAGCGTCTGACGGAACGTGATGCGAACGTTCACGTTCCCAGCGCGCAAAGATAACCCACGATGCATTACACTCACCTCCGCTCTCGGAAAGGAGATCTCAACGGACCGTTATTTCTCACCCCCGATCACCTCCCAATGTCATCCAACGGGTTCAGAGCCCAACTAAAGTCCGTACTGCTGCTTTGTAACCTGTCTCCCCATCTCTACGCAGCTCACTCCTTCCGGATAGGCGCCGCCAGCAGCCGAGTATCCGCAAGTATTGATCACAGTAGATAGCGGTCACAGCATATAGCGATAGCGGTCACAGCATATAGCGATAGCGGTCACAGCATATAGCGATAGCGGTCACAGCATATAGCGATAGCGGTCACAGCATATAGCGATAGCGGTCACAGCATATAGCGATAGCGGTCACAGCATATAGCGATAGCGGTCACAGCATATAGCAAAAAATGGTTAGCAGCATTGCGCTGGCGGTCACAGCATATAGCGATAGCGGTCACAGCATATAGCGATAGCGGTCACAGCATATAGCGATAGCGGTCACAGCATAGCGATAGCGGTCACAGCATAGCGATAGCGGTCACAGCTTAGCGATAGCGGTCACAGAATAGAGCAGTCACGACGTCTGTCCCCTCCAAACCAGGCTTCGAAAACTCCATCAACACGCAGCCTTTTTGGGGATTGTGCGCGCTCCATCGCAGGAGCCTTTCCGATCTGAAGGCCGCACCGGGGCCTAGGGCGCCAAACCTCCTCCCAATAAAATACTCAAAACTTCCTGTTTTCTCGTCTCTCCAAATTGAAATGCAGCCAGCGAAAGTTCAATTTGGTAGACGTTAACCAAATTTACCCCCTCCAGGCCGGCTCGCATCCCAGCCTATCGCTCAGCAGACGCCCCCTTCCAATCATCTGTACCGACTACGCCAGCCGCATAAAAACGGAAAAACTACCACTCTCTGCCTCCTGAAGCCTCGCAACCACCGCCTCCCCTCCTCCTCCTCTTCACCCTGCCTCCAATCTGCCTCCAATCTGCTTCCTGCTGCCAAATGCCGCCACCAGTGCCTAGGTCCCGGGGGATTGTGCGCGCTCCATCGCAGGAGCCTTTCCGATCTGAAGGCCGCACCGGGGCCTAGGGCGCCAAACCTCCTCCCAATAAATTACTCAAAACTTCCTGTTTTCTCGTCTCTCCAAATTGAACTGGATAATAACCATATCAGGTGTGTTAATATTGTATAAAAGTGAGAAAGGCTATTAGGTGTTATCTCTAAACATGCTAACATGCTTATGTAAGCATACAGTATTTAGAGAAAATATATCATTATGTATTTATCTTATGAGGTTTTTTGGGTATGTCTAAACTACAACGTATGCCTTTTGTAGATACTTGAGTCTTTCCCTTGTTTTACTCTTCATGTTAATTAACATTGATCTGTGATGTCAAGAAATAGGTTGGAGATTTTTCAGCTCTCAATCAGCATTTTGACGCCAGAACTCCCAGAGCAGTCAATAGTTATATTAGTTTTAGAGTAATTACCAATACTCAATGAATGTACCTTTTTGGTCTTTGTAACTATGTGATATTTTCTGTCTATGTGTTGTTTATTTATGTTTCATAATGCGTATGAAATTACTTTTTATTTATTTTTTTTATGTGAGGAGTTCTACCTTTAACAAAAATTCAAGTGTAGCCATGTTGTTCACTTGGTTATCCACATTCTATGGCAGTTAATATAGCCATATGTAAGATCTGCATGTCGAGTCATATTAAATGGCCCTTATACTGTATGTCAAAAGGCATTATTAAATCATGCTCTTTTCAAATACTTTAACTGAGAGCAGTAGTTCAGCCGAGATATTGGAATTTAATAATTAGTTTTACAGCCCCTAAATCTTGTTATTGTTTTCATTTCGAAATTCTGTTATTATATGAATGATAACAGAAGCAACAAGGTCCTATCACTACGCTGCCGAACGGACAGTTTCAAGAGATCCTTTGTTCCTTCGGCTGTCAGACTGTACAACAAACCTGACAGACAACAAACAAAAACAACAACAAAAAAGAGTATTCTGCCGCTGGACACCTGCATTTCTCCTACGGGGGATCAATAAAGTATCTATCTATCACACATGTGGCTGCAGTTCTAAAAAGGTCTCGTTATGATTCTCAAATCATTAGTGACAAAACAAGGAATAAAACGAGGATTTCTACTGGGGCCTTTTTTGAAAAGTTGTTGGTTATAGATTTGCTGTAGACAAAACTCTTGTCTATTCAGTTATTATGTTCCCAGCTGGATTTGTATATCTGGCAACCTGAGTCGTGGAGAGTGGCTGAAGTTGCAGTACAACTTTTGGCCAGATTGTTACATACTGCTCCTTTTTTCCCCCTTCACGTCCCCTGTCTCTGAAACCCTGGGCATTCGGCCCCAGGCACTGATTGGAGGAGTCTCCTACTTAAGGCCACACTGCACACCAGTTTGGGCCGCCAGCCTTTGTGACTGCTATGACATTCTGATCTTGTGTTTGACGTGTGTGTAGATGTCGTGTCACTCAGGTGTGAGCTGTGTTTTCACTGTTCTTGAGACAACAGTTGGATTACGGTTTAGTTACTATTAGACCATTTTAGATTTGACCCGTTTTGTTGTGTAAACTTGTGTATTTGTGTTCTACCTGTTTATCTGTGTTAACTTATCATTTACATTCTTGTTATTAAATTACTACTTTACCTTTTCACAACTTTTTTTTGTTACCTCCCTACACAATACTTATACATTACTTACTTTTAAGAGGAATTTCCACCGAATCCCATTGGTTTGAGTGCAGTCAAAATGACGGCTCTGGGAGTTCTAATTTCTAAATTCTGAGAGCCCTAATGTTAAAAGTACGATGAGATAATATATATAGTGACTGGGAGCTTTCTGTATTTACCTCTTCTGACCAGCAGATGGCTGCACTTCACGCAATCATCTTCTACAAGGAAAGAGACAGAACAAAATCAAAGTGTAATCTAGAGCCAACTTCAACTTGTACAATAAATACAAAAGTACATAAGTATTTAGTATGATTAAAATAATAAGATACATGTGAATAACGGATGTATGGTTTCGTTGTTATATTACCATGGTGAAAAATCCCACTTCACCACCAGATGTCATCAAATGTCAAGTTGAGCCAGTACTGTATGCATTTAATCTATGACTTATACCAACATATAACGGTACTGTAGCTTGCCATCCATGCTCCATCAGGGCAACACGCTCTTGTAAATAGTATCGTTTTGTTACTTAAATTCATCTAACTCCCATAACAATACCGTTCTTTTTTTGTGCTTGCCTTGTGCTGAGAATGAGTCAGTTCTGTCTGCAAAATTCCTCCAGCGTGAGACAGGCCTCCCCTGCGGCTCGTTTGCAGACTGCGCACAAAGTGGAAAGTTTGGAGCCGAAGTGCAGGATGGGCCGTGAAAAAGAGAGAGAGAGGGAGAAAAAGCAGCCCACAGACGTTAAAGGCAACATTATCTCCGGACAGACGGCTGCAGCAGACCAGATTCACGTATAAACACCTCCAGATTTATACAAACATGGATTTTCCGACAATACTTTGTTGTCGGATATTTCCTAAACTGTTTTTGGTTATGTTCATTGCTTTGAAGTCTGCAAACTCAGCTCCTTCGCCTATCATCAGATTTCCAGGAGACGATACTCCCAAAACAGACAAAGAAGTTGCTTTGGTGAGTCATTTTTTATTTGTCATGTTTTTTCAATTATGTGCACATATATAGATAATATATATATAGAAATATACTGCATTTCTATCAAACTTACTGCATGTATTATTCTGCTTGTTTTGTTGTTGTTCTTATTTTTAAACTTATTTTTATTTTATTTTTTTGACAGCACTACTTGAATAAATTCTATGGATGCCCACAAGACAGATGCAATTTGATGATGTTGAAGGACACTTTAAAGAAGATGCAAAAGTTTTTCTCTCTACAAGAAACTGGAGAGATTGATGCAAAAACTGTGGATATCATGAAAAAGCCCCGCTGTGGTGTTCCAGATGTGGCAAATTACAACTTCTTCCATAGAAAACCACTGTGGCAGAAGAAAGACGTCACCTACAGGTCAGACACACATTCATCCTTGTTCTATTATTCATTTTTATGTTTTTTTTTTTTTTTTTTTTTACTGTTTTAGCCAAGAACAAATGTCTTTGCATTGCATAAAAATCTATTGGTGCTTTTGTAGAATAGAGCTAACTTGCCCCAGCTTGACCTCTGTCCACCCTACCCCCACACTACCTAAATATCACCTATGTCTCTTTTACAGCAGCATTCAGTCTATTGTCTTGTTGTTTGTGCTGAGGTCTGCAACATTGAGAATTGAGGTATTTATATAATCAGTCCTAGCCCATCACGCACAGCTACTTCACTGTATTTGTGAAGAAGTTAAAGCCAAAAACAACAACACTGACCTGGAACAGCCCATTAGAATTGGACTGTAAGGACACAGAACACAAAATATGGGGTTAGCAGATTCCAGCAGGTTTACTCTTAACCACATGAATGATGCATCAGCTCTGAGAGATGTAATTAAAGTTGATTTTGCGTTTATAGAGGAGTAACCATGCAGTACAAAAAATATGTTTTGAGCCAGATGGTAATGTTCCTAAAATATGTATTTGCAGAATCTTGGGCCACACTCCTGATCTTGATGAGGAAGTCATCAATGACGCTTTCTTCAGAGCCTTTAAAGTGTGGAGTGACGTCACTCCACTCACATTCACCAGACTTATGGACGGAGAAGCTGATATCATGATCAACTTTGGTCGTAATGGTATGTTTTGATTACAGTAAAAGCTGTGTCATTTAAAAAATTGCGCTTTTGTATGATTGTTCTTTTGTTAAAATGAGTCATTGTGTTTGTGTCCATAATCTGCAGAGCATGGGGATGGATATCCATTTGATGGAAAAGACGGTCTTTTGGCTCATGCCTTTGCTCCTGGTCCTGGCATTGGAGGAGACTCTCACTTTGATGATGATGAACAGTGGACTTTGGGAGAAGGACAAGGTCAATAGTCCATAACTTCTATAACAATCTTGTACACATGTATTTTTTAAACTATGCTTTTCCCTGTACAGTTGTGAAGTCAAAGTTTGGCAATGCTGATGGAGACTTTTGTAAATTCCCATTCCTGTTTATGGGCACCGAATACAACAGCTGCACTGCTCAGGGCCGAGACGATGGTTTCTTGTGGTGCGCCACAACATACAACTTTGATGCCGATGGAAAATATGGTTTCTGCCCCCATGAATGTAAGTTTGTTTTCACTCTCAATATGGAATTCAATTGTTTGTTTCTATCATGTGTGCATGCAACATTTGTTACACTGTGTTTTGTTGCTGTCCATGGTACTAACACATTACATCATCATCATCATCAGTTCATCTGCTCAATGCCGCATAATTGAGAGAGGCACTTTTCCAAGTTGACTTAATTCAAATGTTTCAGGGATCCTTCCACACGCTTTTCATAATAGTTGACTGCATCTCTGTCCCATTCTACTTGACAGAACTGGTTTAACTGAGTCATGTGTGAAGGCCACAGAAGTTCTATGGGATTGAGAACCGAACTCTGTGACGGCCACACTAAAACATGGACTTTGTTGTCCTTAAGCAACGTTTTACCAGTTTGAACTCATGTATGACTAATTTTGCTTTATGTTTGTGGTCCTAAACATGACAAAATATGTTACTTTTAGGACCACACTACTACTACTACTTGAACAACTTTTACAAGCCATTGTCACTCAAAATGTTGTCAGAAACTTTAACAATGAATTGGGTTTCCCCACATGAGCGAACAATTTGACCTCAATTCATATTGTGGCATAACGCTAACTATTATTGTTTCTTAAACCTCTGTATGCAGAAGAGGCTCTGTTGACTGAAAGAAAAAACACATGAGAATGCAAATACAGATTTTATTTTTTTCAAAAGAATCTTGCTAAGAGAGTCACATTCATTATGAATAGTTATATATATATATATATATAATTATAAAAAAAAGATATATAAAAAACAGGAAATCACAAAGTAAAACCACTGGATCACCTCAGGCGTTCTCAACTTTTCACTGTTTTCATGTTCTACTTTGTGGCTTCCTTCTGAACATGACATGATCTTCAAATATGCTATCGGATCATCTTGCAGAGCAGGAAATGAAACAGTTGTCCAGTAGAGAAAAGGAAGGCACCTTTTTGTTGAATTTATCCAAAACTTTTGAACTTTCAGATGGGCATTGATAACATTGTCAATCAACTTATAACAAACACATTGTTTATGAAGTTAATCAGTGTCTTTCACAGATTAGGATTTAACTCCCCGTCATGTTTCACACTCCATCCCAATCATATACATGTGTGTGATGTGGGAGATTTATTTTATAACTCTCAAAACTTAAAGTATAGCCATTTTTTGCACAGAGGTGATGTCACATCTATTGAAATGGCTGGTTCTCTGCTCCTTCACATGTGAGTCTTCCTCCACCCACCCACTTGGTAACGTAGGCTCAACCTCAGCCCGCCTCCCACCTACTCTGTGACGTAGCCTCACGCTGAGCTTGTGGTAAACACAGTGTAGGGGTACGGGTACATAGCAGGACAGCAGTTCCGTCACATACAGTAGAGCCCTTTGCCCTCGTTCCAGAATTGGACCTTAATTATTTAGTTAACAGTAAACAGCAAGTTAGTAGTTCTATATCTAAACTACTCGTTAGTATATTTTATTGTGGGAATAACACCAGGTTTCAGGATCCAGCTTCTGAGCAGGTCCAGTTTCATGGTAACCATTGTTCTTAAAACAGTCTTGTGAAGCAGTGAAGTGTCACAACAGATTCTTTGCAGATTTCAGAGGCAGATCCCGTGGCCCTTTTTTTACAATAAATAATATAGTATTTTCCCTATTTAAATATGTTTTTATCTGAAGATGACAAATTGATTTATTCTGAGTTGATTCAGATTCTGATGCTGCCATCAGGAGTGTCTGGTAGACACTAGAATGTCTACCAGACACCATTACATTTTGAGTTTGTAGCTAATTGAATATACGTATAAGTGAAAACACTGGTGTACTGGAGTACATATAAAAGGCTAATTCATGTGCGTGCGTTTTAGGATACTTATTTTATTATATAGTTTTAGAGAATATGGCTGATTTGACAGACAATAAGCTTTATATATATATTTATTTATTTTTTTCGTGGCTAATAAAAACATACAGTATTCTATATCAGTCAATACCATAGACTGCATATACACTGTTTTTATTTACAGTACTGTTTACCCTTGGAGGAAATGCTGAAGGAGCACCTTGCAAATTCCCCTTCACCTTTCAAGGAGAAAAGTATGACAGCTGCACCACACAAGGAAGAGATGATGGCTACCGCTGGTGTGCCACCACTGAAGACTATGACGCAGACACAAGTTATGGATTCTGTCCTGAAACAGGTATTTGAGACATTAAGGGGCATTTGAGACACTAAGGGGCAATTGAATCACTAAGTATATTTCAATCTTGGTGTTATAGTGCATGCATTAACTAATATAGTATGTGCAGTTTTTGTGGTTTAGTTCTATATGATTGGAGAACAACAGTTTGCTCCAATCTTAAGGCGTGCTAATCCTTTTGCACAGAAGTCCAACCCTTGATAGATACATAGATAGTGTTTGTTGTGCAAGACCAATGGTTCAAATGTAGGTGCCCACATTATGGATTATTTACAGAAGTTTAAGGTGTTTGATTAGAAATACATTGAGTCATTTCCTCAGCAATGATCCATATTAAGTAAACATGTAGTTTGTTTCTTCTTCAGCCATGTCAACAGTAGGAGGAAATGCAGAGGGGAGCCCCTGTGTCTTTCCCTTCACTTTTCTTGGAAACACCTACGAGGCCTGCACTTCATCTGGACGCAGTGATGGCAAGATGTGGTGCGCCTCAACTAAGAGTTATGATGATGACCGCAAATGGGGATTTTGTCCCGACCAAGGTACATTTCCAAATATATGAGATCATCTCAGCTATGTTTTGTCATTCTTTGGATGTAAAATACTTACTGCAAGTCAGAGTGCAGTATATACCACTTACATTGGTTCATTGTTGCATTGTGTTTTTGCAGGCTACAGCTTGTTTCTGGTGGCTGCACATGAGTTTGGCCATGCTCTTGGTTTGGAGCACTCCCAGGATCCTGGGGCACTGATGGCTCCAGTTTACACTTTTACTAAAGACTTCCGCCTTTCTCAAGATGATATCAGTGGCATTCAAGAGCTCTATGGTAAAATGATTGAAATGACAACTTTGTTTACACAAATTGTAATTAATTTGTTTTTTTTTTATGAATACAGGTGTCCCCACAGACAAGCCAATGCCTCCCACACAGGGACCAGTCACCCCCATGGACATCTGTAATGAACCTGTTGTCTTTGACGCTGTGGCACAGATCAGAGGAGAGACGTTCTTCTTTAAGGACAGGTAAACATATTTGGATCAATGCATACAAGTCATGTTCAATGCGAGAACACACATATGCCTTGTGGTCGTATGTAGTAAGCAGTGTGGCACAGTGTGATAAATGGTGTTCACACACAAACATTATATTGTTTACCAAAATAGTCTTCAGCAGAATTGCATGCATTATGGATAATACTTAATACACATATAAGCTACTCTTTCTCAGTTTCAAGCCTGTTCCAAAACTGGTGCTCTAGCTAATATGAGTGACTTATTATAGTTGTTTGTCTTGCTTAAATGTGTAAAAGTTGAATTTCCCCCAGCTCAGGCATACACATGTGTGGATGCACACAAGTGCCCTGTCATAATGACAGGGCTATTAAAGACCAAACTACTGCTTAGCACTGGCCCAGATGAACGACTCACAACAGGTTATGTTGTTTTTGAAATTAAACAAATGCACAAACTAGTGCTTTTTGTTGTTATTTTAATATATATTCTATATTTTAGAACTGTTGTTGTGACATTCTTAAAATTGGGTCAATGGAAAAGTATTGAGTGTGATGCTGTACTTGTACAGCTGAGTGTTGGAACTCTCTGCATGATGGGTCTTGTTCCACTGGCGTCGGCAGCCTTAGCCCTAACCAGAAACAGATGCTTATGAATCAGGCCATTGTGGCTGGTTCTTCCAGTGCAAGCACTAAAATCCCCCAATAAAATGCATTCTGCGGCTTATAACTCTACTTATCCCTTTGTCTCTCACTAGATATCCTCATTTTATTTGTATGTGCTAGATTCATGTTCAGGTCAGTTAACTTCAGAAGCAAGCCTACTGGACCTATGCTTGTGGGGACCTATTGGCCAGACCTTCCTCCAAAGATTGATGCGGCCTATGAAAACCAAGATGAAAAAACTGTCTTTTTTGCTGGTAAGTTATTAAAAACATTCAACAGAGTGCAATAGCTCATCCATAAAATCACATATTTTCCAATATCTTTACGGTTGGCATTTTATGTTGTAGTGTTATTCATGTTTAGTGTTTGAAAACTCAACAGAAGCAGCTTGACAGCCACACTTCAGTTTAGAAGGGAGGAGTACAAGCACTAGCTCTGCTGACTCTGAATCTGTGACTTTTGGATGAGTTTGTTTTTCCTCAGCCAAACTCATGGAGAGAATATGCAACTTTTGTCAAAATGAAATGGGTTCCACAACTTTCTGAGTTGTGTAGTGATGTTAATGTTACAATCTACCTTCACAAATTGCTAAATTTCCATCTAAAAAGCCTTCCCAGAGCAAGAATGTTGGCTGGACGCTCATGTGTGGTCTCTGCTCTTGGAAAGTACATGGCGCCTTTTCTCGGTTATTAGTGCTTTATGACAGATTTTCAGTTGTATTATTGGATTGATCTCTTGAATACTGATTAGGCTTTGTTAAAATACTCTTATGAGACGTTTAGGATATGTGAAGGTAATGTTCTTTGACTTCTCCAGTGCATTTAACAACATCGAACCTTGCTTATTGAGGGAGAAACTGGAGAAGATCAGAGTTGATCCCATCTTTACCAACTGGATTTACAATTACCTCACCGTGTGGTCACAGTATGTCAGGTTAGGGATGACCGTGTCTGGGACTGTTGTGAGCAATACGGGAGCACCACAGGGTGCCGTTCTGGCTCCCTTCCTCTTCACAATTTACACTGCAGACTTTGCACACAACTCTGCTACATGCCATGTACAAAAATACTTGGATGATTCCGCTGTTGTGGCATGTGTGAAGGGGGGGATGAACTAGAGAGGTGGCTGCATTCTCAGACTGGAGTGAGAGAAAGTGTCTGATTCTCAATGCGTCCAGGACCAAGGAGATGATCATTAACCTATCTATATACTGTATATATATATCTATCGGTCTATCTTGTCCATGGGCCTGGACAGTTGGAACATCAAAATAAATCTGTAACCCTTTTTTTTTTGTAAAATCAAACGGTCTGAGATGATCAGGAATAGGGGTTTTATATTTGTGTATTGTTCTTAAGTAAGACATAATAAAATAATAATGCAATGTAATAGGTAATTGTATTTACCCAACATTGGTCCACTATATATCAGATGATCTCTTCAGACATCAGCTTCACTCAAATATATTTATCTGAGGAAATGCTTCTGTGATTCAGAACAGTTATGATTAGAATAGATTAAAGTCAACTGAGGCCAAAACGTCAGACATCAGCTTTACACGGAACCTAAACTTTTTTTTTACTCCTTAGAATTTTTTCTTGCAGTTTTACTAATTAAGTCATCATTAGGATTTGTTTACATGTTTCTTTGTTTTAACTGAAACTCTAAAGGGGATGGGAGGATATGAATTACATTTTTGGTAAATCTCAGAAATGAGACGAGGAATTGGATTTTGGAGGTAATTTCTAAGAATGCTTCTATAGTTTGAGGCCTTTTAGAGAAAATAGTCCAGAAGGAGTAAGCCCCCGTATATATACTTTCATATATGTACTGTATCTCTCTTTTGTATCTGTCCATCAAAATGTGCAATATCACTCGTTTACTGTGTTCTATCCCTTGTAGGTAATGAGATGTGGGTATATAAAGCAGATGAACTGGAACGAGGATATCCTAAGAGTATCTCAAGTCTTGGTCTGCCCTCTGATATTCAGCATATTGATGCTGCTTTCAACTTTAGAAAAAACAGCAAGACTTACCTGTTTTCTGGAGATAAGTTCTGGAGGTGAAAAACATTTTGAAACTGTATTTCCTCAAGGATTGAAGTATGACTAAATAGTTGTGTTTGTTTTTTAGATATGATGACAGCAGACAGTCAATGGATCCTGGATTTCCAAAACTTATTGCTGATTCTTGGAATGGCATCCCAGATAACATAGACTCTGCCTTCAGCTTAAATGGAATTGGTAAATCTTCCTCTTCTAAATAACTAGTTTGCTCTTAATTTTAGTCAGTGATATGTTTGCTACAGTTAAATTATTATCATCAGGGCAAATTACCATACATATCCTTCAGTAAACACTCCAGTGTAAATATTATACACCCCCTTCTGGTCAGAAAAGGAACATAAAGCAGAACTGTACTGTTTCACAAAGGTGCTTTTGTATTCACCATTTTCATTATTTGAAGTTTTAAAGAAACACGTAGTTTTTGCTCGTACTGGTGTAAAATGTAACTACAAATACACACCCTACATTTTTTCTCTCACACCACACACACACACGCACTCGCATGTCATCGCTCAACTCTGCTCTCGTTACTCATCTGGACAATAAAGAGGGATTTTTATATATTTATTATTTCAAATGTTTGCTTTATACCATACAGTATAGTGTTGTAAGCTTTTAACAAGAACCTACTCACTTTTTTTCAGATTACAGCTACTTCTTCAAAGGAAACCACTATTTCAAATTGGAAGACAGCAGCTTGAAGATTGTTAAACTTGGTGAAATTACAAAAGACTGGCTTGGTTGTTAGGCTGTTTGAAAACACATAACTGGTCATTTTCAAGAGAGTTGGTCTCCAGTCTTTGCTACGCAAATAATGAAGCAGGTTATACTTTTATACACCGACACTGCCTTACAGGTTAACCCTCTGAAGGTCTTACAAAGACGATTGGATCTTTTGATCCAAACCCGTATTTCAATACTGTCTAAGTCGGGCAGTTTACCAGTGACGGTCCATGTTTGACTGGCTTTCCTGTTGCTGTTTTGTTTTCACTAAGACACCAGGCAGCCCCTCATAAGGGTTCTTAAAGCTGGCCAGGCAAGTGATATGCTGTGACTGTGTCCCTTTTTATGCAAATCTAAATTGGCTTACAATTACATGTATGCCATTGTTTTATGTTCCAATTATGTTTTTGTGCAATACATTTCAATTTACAAAATGTGCACAACATGTCTGACCGAATAATGGTGCTTTAGACATTGCTTTTGCTTTTTGTCCTTAACATGTACACATTGTTTTCTGTGTAACCTTGGGTGGGACAACTTAGAGATTTAGGGAAGTAGAACGTAGTTTTTTCAGGCATAGGCCTATTATGTATATATATATATATATATATATATATATATATATATATATATATACACCTAGAACTTTGTGTTTGACTGTCTTTGGCTTTGTATTATGGAAGCCGCTGTCCTGCAAAAATGATTCTTTGGATTTCTACACAAAGATTTAAGGCACAGGTTGCTTCTAGAAGATATTATGGTTGGTGCAAATAGCACAAATAGCACAGTAGCGTTGTTGTATTTTTTGTTGTGTTCTCTTTACTTTTTTGTTCCACTGTAGATGTTGTGTGTTGGGCACTTTTTTATAATCTAAAATGGTCAATAAAATATATTAGAGATCTGTCTGAGTTGATTGCCATCTGCTTGTTTGAACAATAAATTATGTTGATAAAGCTGGGGTACCTAACTATCAAACCAGAAACATTAAAGTTTGTAATCAAAGGAGACACTTGTTTCTCATTCTAAACCCAGCTTGGTTCCATCACTAATTTATATATGCATTTATTTTTTTGGTACAGCTATAGATAAGCTTTTTGAAACAGAAAAGGGAAAAAGAGAGCACTGCCTTTTCCTCTGACTCTTTCTTTCTTTCTCGAGAATATATTTTCTACATGTATTACTTATGAAACCCAGCTTTAACACCCATGTGTCATGTGCATAGTACTACATTTTGAATGCAATACTGCCATCTTCTGGGCATTCACAAAGTTGCAAATCATAATTTGCATGCGATTGCTTAGAGTAATAATCGAAAGTATGTGGATTAATTGTGGGCACAATGTGGGAATACATTTCAAAATGTGAAAATGTTTCTAATGAAACTAAGCCTTAGCTCTTATTCATCTCTACATGTCAGAGTGAACAGGAGCACTACCACCGCGGGTCGGTAGGGGGAGCCTGCAGACCCACAGTCCGCTGCACGCATGTGCGCTGCTCTGTGGAATGAGAGCAGTGGGCATTGTACACATCAGGGACAGGGGCCTGTGTTGAGGAAGTGCACTGATATGATAACCTAAAGCCCGCTAACCTCTCTGCTGTTCCTGCTTTACGCCCAGAGAGCACTATGCCGACGCAGCGAGTGTCCGCCCTGCCTCGGCAACAGTCCCTCCTGCTTCCAGCGGTCATCAACCCGTTTGTACAGGACACAAAGCTGAGCAGGGCCACTATCCTCCGTGTGAGTATGGACACTACCATATCTGGTCAGGTTCAGGTATACTCGCCCTGCTACGCGTTTGTCGTGAGCACACACTGCCATATATGATATAATTCGATAAATGATTCGCCAGGAAGAGCGGGCCTAATCCTCCCCCTCGCTCTCTGGAAAGCGGCTTGTGCACTGCCTCTGTGTTGAGCTGAAAACAATGACCTGTTTTCTAGAAAGCCGTGGATTTCTTTTCCTGCTCTGTGGAATGTCAGCACAATGAAGGGAATGCCTCATGACAGCTGTCTTCTCTTATTGTTAGAGGACTTCCTCTAATTGTCCATGTTTCTCTGTCCCTGTGTCTTTAGTGCGTCCTGATAGGGATCGTCCTGGTCCCTCTCCGGGCCATCCTCGTGTCTCTGGTTCTCATGGTAACGTGGCCAGTCTCACTCATCATAACCTTCAACTACCCCCTGAAGGGAGCCGTGGAGCCCATGACAGGATGGAGACGGTACCAAAGCCCACACCTAATCTACTTTGCTTTGGGGAAAAAACAGCCGACCACTGCCTATATGCTCTTTGATGAATCTGATTACATACAACTGGTCCATGCAAATCACACAGGGAACTACCTTTCTGACACAGGTGCACGCAGCGTATCTGGTGGACACTTCTTGTACATCTAAATGTTAATTTATTGCATGTGAACAGCAGATAAGCAGGGGAGGGCCAGGTTAGTACTGTGATGGGAGACTTCTGGGAACTCCAAGTGCGACACTGGGGTGGCTGTAAAGTGCCAAACTGTTGTTGTGTCCTTAGGCAAGACACTTCACCCACATTGACTAGTATGAGTCTGGCGGGTGCACAAATGATTGGTGGTAGTCAAAGAGGCTGATGGCACATACTGGTTGCAACGCTTCAGTCAGTCCGCCCCAGGGCAGCTGTGGCTACTGTAACAGCTTATTGCCACTCTGTTTAGTTACATGTAATATCTGCGGAGAGGCAAGTCCATTAATTGTAAGAATTCTATTTTTTTTATTTTTGCAATAACAACCCACTTAAGAAAATATCAATCAATCAACTTTTATTTGTTGAGCGGCTTTCCTACTCAAGGCAACTCACAACCCATATCACACCAGGCATAAATCCTAAACTTTCAAATCTACATAAAGATAAGAAAATATGATTTAAAAATATGAATAAAAACAAACATTAAGATCACAAGAAATGTTAAATATAGTGTATTTATCAAATTGAGGTACAGTCCTGGCAAAGCAATAGCATCTATGGGGTTGGGGAGGAACTAAGTGCATGGACTGAGAATTTGCATTTTGAGGAAGTATCTTCACTTCATTCACATAATTATACTTCTGTTTCCGCTGATATTCAAGATACAGATACTTTCAAATTGATGCATTGTAGTGAAATATGACATGATTTTGGTCTCGAATCATACAGTATTTGTAATGAATAACAACAACAACATATTGGTTTAACCTCATACAGTGCATATGACAGAGCTGAAACTGATCAATACTCTTTGGAAATGATCCAAAATCATTTATTTGGTGAAAATAAAAAGAATTAGAAGGCGTTTTTGTGCTCTATTGATTCTCTATACAAAAATGTTTATGAGAAGGACTTTCCATTTGTAATCCTGGCTGCAGAGATTCATGTAGTATCAGTTTCAGCTAGTGGTGTATTATGCGATTGTTTTAAGGGTGTGCCATGGCTCAAAAAGGTTGGGAAACACCGATTTATACCACAGTAATTACACAACCGAAGCCTCTGCTCAGGCCTTCCCGCTCTGGTGGTCCTACATGAAGCAGTCTGTTGTCAAATGATTCATAAACTTAGTTGACAATAACACAGGAACAAAACCAAAGGCTGCATGCTGTTTCAGTAATGACTTTTGACATATTGAGACATTCTGTATGAGCCGTTGTGTTTTATCATCCAGAGATCATATCTAAGCACAACTTTAGTTCCTGGTATAGAACAATTTTAAAGATTGCGGAAAAAAGATATCAGGAAGTGAAAGTATGTGCTGAGTATCTTGTTCTTGTTATGCATGATCACTTCATTAATACAGTTGTTTGATTCGATGTTTCTCACAAAATGAATGGGGTATGAATAGGTCACGTATTGTTGTGTAAAAAACAAAATAAATAAAAAGTGGAAAAAAGTCTGTTGAGTAATGAGGAAGTAGTGGGGAAAGATGTGTCTTCTGCAATCTAACAGACACATGCTGACATCATGTTTCACTTAGCAAAGATGTGACTTTATCATTTCAATGTATCTATTTTAAAACACAAATACAATTATCTGTTTGCAGCTTCCTGTGTCTGAATGTGATGGCTGTTTTGGGGAAGCTCTATTTCTTCAGCTTGGGCTTCAGGGTGGTCATAAAGGGCAAGCAGGTGAGCAGTAATGTGGCCCCAGTCCTGGCGGTGGCTCCACACTCTACGTTCTTTGATGGGATCGTCTGCATTATGGCCGGTCTGCCCTCCACCGTGTCCCGTGTGGAAAACCTGGCTACGCCCATATTTGGACGTGAGTCAATTCAACACTTTAATCCCCAAAACTCAAAGTGATCACCTTTTTTCCACAAAGCCATTATTATAAAGATCTTCGTGACTTTCAGTTTGAGAAAGGCGCTAGATAAATCTAAAATGAAGATTACTTACTTTTCTTTTATTGTTTTGTTTAGGATTTGTGCGTTGTCTTCAGCCAGTGTTGGTGTCGAGAAGGGACCCAGACTCGAGGAAGAATACGATTAAAGAGATTGAAAGTCGAGCAAAGTCTGGAGGTCACTGGCCACAGGTTGGTTAAATGACTTCAAAATGTGCTAGATAGAAATCATACAGCGTCGGTTTGAATAATTCATGTAATAACTGACTTTTGTTTGGCAGCTTCTCATTTTTCCAGAGGGAACTTGCACAAATCGCTCATGTCTTATTACTTTTAAACTAGGTATGTTTGATTTTGATTTTTTTATACAACTATATATATTAATATGTGGCCTTAGTATTGTGATGGGAGACCTCCGGGAACATCAAGTGTCATAGTCGGGCGGCTGTGGCTGTAAAGTGCCAAATTGTCGTTGTGTCCTTAGGCAAGACACTTTACCCACGCTGCCTTCTATTGCCTAGGGGTGGTCGGAGGGCTAATAGCACACACTGGTTGCCTCGCTTCTGTCGGTCGTTCTCAGGGCAGCTGTGGCTAGCTTTTGTTATTGTTATTATTGTACACTACATATCACAAAGGCAAGATGATACACATAATATTTTATACATACATCGGCAAAAATATCAACAATTCCCATTTGTAGGCTAAACATTTGGTTCAGGTATGTGACATGAGCTTGTTCTTGCAAAGTAATTTTGATGTTGTTTAAGGTGCCTTCATCCCCGGAGTTCCTGTACAGCCTGTTCTTTTACGATATCCAAATAAACTGGTATGATATGGTCAGGCTTAACTGATAATGAAAAATCTCCTTTTGCAATGAGGCTGCAGATTTATGAACGTATCATTTGCAGGATACGGTGACCTGGACCTGGCAAGGATTTGGCTCGTAAGTGTCCGATTTATTAGTATGTGCTCCATTTTTGCGGTATGCGGATCACCTTACCACAAGTCCTGACAGTGCGGGGTTGCAAGAGCTGTTTTGAGGTTTCTCAAGAGTCTGGGTGTGCATTTGTGCAATCCCACAAATAACAACATAACGATAGTGAGAAACGGAGGAAACACAAATGTGAACTTCCCTGGGTTTTTTTAAGCTAAGTGGACAGCCAAATATCTCTTGACACTTTCTAACAGATTACTGATGATCTAGACAACAAACAAATCTGTCAATTGTAAACTTCAAGCCCAGGCAAATGTGATGATAAAGAAATTCAGTATTCAATTCGATTTTTGATTCTATGTATTCTTGTATAGCCCTAAATAAGATAACATAAGATAGACTTTATTGATCTCACACAGGAGACATTTACAACAGTAGTTATCTCAGAAGAATTAACAAAACCGTTGAATTTGCCAACACTGATCAATGAATCATTTCAAACACAAGAAATGCAATGATAGAAAACACACAGAGCCATTGGTTCATAAGGGGCGGATGACCTATGTCCATAAATATCCATAGATTTTGTTTAATGTCGAGTGTCCTGGATTCTTTTAGTTAGACTTAGACAAGTGTCCACAAAAGTGAACTTCCCATGGTTTTAAGCTACAGCCAAATATCGCCGACACTTACTAACAGATAACTGATTATGGAGACAACAAGCAACTAAACTGTCAATTGTAAACTTCACACCCTGGCAAATATGCTGATAAAGAAATTTGGTACGTGTTTGCATCCTGTTTCAACTTTACCATCACTTGCAGAAATGTGTGGACTGATTTTAATAACTTGCATTGTATGTTATCTTTAACATTTTAAAGCATAGCCCAATTGACTTTGAATCGCAAATAAACATGAAATATTCTAATTGTCACTGTTTACATAGGAGCACTCTACTACTCCTCACGTTATGTCAGCCCTACACAACCGTGGAGATAGAGGTAGCATGCCTTTTATGTTAGCTGTTGACTTTTTTCTGCTTTTCTGACCCTAATCTATCACCGTTTTTATTAGTTCCTTCCTCCCTGCATTCCTTCAGAAGAGGAGAAGAAATGCTCGGCCCTGTTTGCCAATAATGTGCGCAGTGTAATGGCTCAGTAGGTGTTCACCAATATTACTCACAAACATTTTCTCCAGCTATGCAAATTATATAACCTCTGTTTATCTTAGGGCTTTGGGCGTGCCTGTTACAGACCACACGTACGAAGACTGCCGCCTCATGATCTCTGCCGGAGAGCTGACATTACCCATGGAAGCCGGGCTCGTCGAGTTTACAAAAATCAGTCGCAAATTGAAGTAAGAGTCTGCGAATTAATGCCAGATATGTAGCAGCGACCAGACATGACAAGTTTCTGTTGTATTCACAGTCTAAAATGGGACAATGTTAAAAAGGAGCTCGAGAGTTTCGCTAATATTGCGAGATCGTGCAAGGGAGGACGCATTACGATACAGGAGTTTGCCAAGTTCCTGCAGCTGCCTCTGAACCCAACCCTCGAAGAACTATTTGCACTTTTTGACAGAGTGAGTTTGAGAGACGCCAAGATAATCATTGGTGCAAAGGTTATAACGCCTGGTTTGCTCTCGATATATTTCAGGACCGAGATGGCACCATTGACTTCAGAGAATATGTTATTGGGGTGACGATCTTATGTCGACCGGCCAACACAGAGGACGTTCTCCGCATGGCGTTCCGGGTAAGAGTGTCAGGTGGAAATGGGTTTTAACGGTGGTCGAAAGATGTGAAAAGATTGTCCAGAGCTGTGGGTGGAAAGTGGGTCTTTGTCGGAGAATAAAACTTTGCAAAACATGAAGTGAGAAGAGGTCACAACAATGACAAGCTCTTAAAGGTTGATCTCCTTATGTTGTCTCAATGATTTGGGCCTTTTTTGTTTTGCGTTAGAAGCTCTCGCGTTCATGTTGTAGAATTCTGTTTCAGTTTGAGGAAAGGTACAGTACCAATATAAATCTATAGGACAGAAGAAACCTCCAAAAGGTTTTCCTAGATCATTATTTTGTTCACAAAGCCGCCATATTGTTCCTACTTCTTAAAGTATTTTCTATTGGCCAACATTTATTTTATTTAGACTTCATTAAGGACTCACATGCAAGCACAGGATCCATAACATATTTTCATGAGTAACTAATTAGACCAGGGGTTCCCAAAGTTTTTAGCCCGCGACCCCCATCATAAATGCCCTGCTAACCCGCGACCCCCCCCCCCCCCCCACATGAAATGAGCATGTATTTCCTTGATACGGAGTAACGCTTTCTAGAGACTCACGTCACTACCGAGCTGCACTGTCCAGCCCAAAAAAGGAGGCTTGCATATTTTTACTCATGTAGTGACACAGTGATGGGCTTGGTGGGCTCCCTCCTCAGCAGAAGTGGAGCGCATTTCTTGCGGCTCGCCCTCACTGTTCTCCTACCGCGGTAAAGTGGGCCGGCTTTCCGGAGTCAGCGGTAAAGAGGTCCGCACATTAAAAGCAGGCGGCCGCTTTCTGCTGTTACTTTATGCGGTTCATCCCCGCGGCTTCTCTTTCCAAAGTTACTGTCAGTAAAGGCATAAACCGGCCACCCGCTTTTAATGTGCGGACCTCTTTACCTTTACAATACAATACAATACAATACAATTTATTCTTGTATAGCCCTAGGTCACAACAGAAGTCATCTCAGAGGACTTAACAAAACCATTGAAATCACCAACACAGGTCAGAGAATCAACAGTTAAAACACATGAAGAATACAGTATAAAGCACACACAGAAGAAAATGTCCATACATGTTGTAGAATGCTAAAGTGTCCTGATCATCACCAATCCTTTCTGTTGGACACTAACTGTCCAACAAGACCCTCCTGCATCGACAAGGAAAAACTCTTAAAAAACCCAGTGGGAAAAAGTGAGAAACCTTGGAGGAGAACTAGGGAAACCCACAGGGAGGGAGACCCATATGAGAAAGGGATCCGCTCCTCCGGACGGACAGACTAATTTACCTTTGACTCCGAAAAGCCGGGCCTCTTTAACGCGCTGTTCTACCGCTGTCCTCCCTCCCTCCGCTGCCCTCCCTCCCTCCCTCCGCTGCCCTCCCTCCCTTCTCTGCCCTCTCTCCCTCTCTTCGCACCATCAGCCTGACCCCTGATACAAGTGACTTTTCTCCCCCTCCGGGTTTTTCTGTTGTGGATATTAACCACGTTTCATTTTAAAGCAGGTATTATTTATTTGTAGCCTCCAAACACCTTTAGTTTTAGCAAACAACAGCAGGATACGCTTTGTCGCTGCGCATGATGTGAGCTGTGTGATGATTTTGATTGACGCTGCAATGACTGGGACAAAATTACTAACGTTATTAAAATATATTATAGTCTCCAAACACAATTTAACAAGTAGTCCTTTTGAATCAAATCAAATGCTAAATAAATATTTAAGGATTTTATATTTGCTCAAAAAAAAAAATTCTTTTTTGTTTGTTTGTGTGGAAATCATCTTGCGACCCCCCCAGGGGTTCCCGCGACCCCCCGGGGGGTCGGGACCCCCACTTTGGGAACCACTGAATTAGACCATAGTCAATATGTACTGACACAGAAGACTAGGAAGAACAGAGACATTTGCTATAAACTAAGTCTTACTTTTGACTGTTTCAAGGAAAGATTGTTGTGAGTCATATTAACGGTTCTATCTGTCTGTAGAACTCAGAAGAGCCAGTTTAAATAGTGCCAGGGGTAACATTTGTTTTTCCTTTTGCTTTTTATCAATTTAAGAAGGATCAAGAAGGCAATCCAATCAATCAGTATCTTTTAGTGTTAAGGCTCCTTGTAGAAAGCCTGTGTGATCATAACAAAAGCGGTAGTTATAACTGTGTGGCTGTTTTTAGTGCAATGATATGCTCACTTGTGAGGTTTATTTTTATAGCATAGCATATCAAATGTAGCTCGAATGCAGTTTACAAAAATAAATCCAATCCAACTGATATGTTTTGAATACATGAATATGATGGTATTCAAGAGGAAGGGATCTGTTATCCGTCCTACGGTGGGGAAATTTCAGTGTTGCATCCCAAGTTACAGACAGAAGGAATGAGACGCACACAGCACAGGATAAATTGATATTAACGCTATACTAAAATAAAATAAAATCTCTAACTCTAGCATAAAAATAAGCCTCATCAAGTTCATACTTCTTGCCTTTATTATCTTATATAAAAGTCAAAAATGGGCTGCTGTGATTTGGGTGAAAATGTACACCCCCCAACAACCCAGAAATGGACAAAGGGAGAAGACGACGAACGATCGAACGAAATTCAAACACGTTGGCCAAACAAAGTGATGCACTGTCAACGTGACTCATAAACTCGACGCCTGCGTAACGTAATGGAACGATTCAGTTGTGCGCTTTTGTTTTCACAGTTGTTTGACACGGACGAGGATGAGAAGATCACACACGAGGAGTTCACGTCTCTCCTGCGCTCTGCTCTGGGTGTGGCCAGTCTGAACATGGCCAAGCTCTTCAAAGAGATCGACGCGGACGGCTCCGGATTCATCACATTCGGTTTGTGTTAGCGTCGGGTCGGAGCGTATTTCTGTCTGAAGCTATCGCCGTAAAATATATATTTTTTGTACGTTTCAGCTGAATTCGAAGCCTTTGCTCTCTCTCACCCGGAGTACGCTAAGCTGTTTACCACTTACTTGGAGCTGCAGCGATACCAGGCCATTCAGGAGGCCTCGCCGGGGGATCTGGAACTGAGCGGTCATAGCATTTCTGAGGACAAGATGGAGGACAGCATCTCTGACAAAAAAGATGACTGACTCCTGATTAACCATTAACAGTCAAGGGTAACACTTTACAATAATAGTAGTGTTGGATCATTCTTTTTTAGACCTTGCCAAATGATTCTCAATTCTCAACGTTTACAAAACATTTATTATTTTGCATTGACTGAACCCTTTTTTATAGTTTTAATCATGCCATCATGTATGTGTATAATAGACATTACGAATATACTGATTCATATTTATTCATGGAACATTGGAATCACATTTTATAAGATTTGAGATATGGACAATGCTAAAACGAAACATGCAGTGATTACATGCTCGCAGACAAAACTGGAGCATTATCTCCGAGTCGTATCTATTCGCGGTCACAAAGTCATCCAATGGTTTCATGCTTTTTATGATTATAAACTTTGCTTTGAGTGAACATCTATGAATTATAGTGCCTTACATTTTAAAACAATTTTAAGGTCTTAATATGTTGTAGAAAGTGATTTTCGTCCACACCACACATTTATCCAGTTAATTTCAAAACTGCCTTTTGTATTGAGCCCTTGTCCTGGAGCTGTTTGCTTCTTCACTGTGGTTTCCTGTAAATAGGTGTGAAATTTGCCACATCGGCATCATTTCAAACACAAGCAAAGACTCCTTGTATTCCAGTGTTACATTATAATGAGTACTTTATTATGAGCCCAGTATGTTCTGTTGTGTAAGTCTGCTACACGCTGGGTTTTACACTTTCCGCGGCGCTCAGGGACACAGACCGTTGTAAGATGGCTGTATAATTAGCCAGAGGTTTTGCTTTGCATGTGTATCCATTTGCATTTCCACTGAAGACTCTTGTTGCTGAGTGTGCAGTAACAGATTCAACTTTACTAGAGCAAATCCACTGTGGAAAAAATAGGGCAATTTGTGAGCAAAAAGGCATCCAGCATTCCAGCAGGATTATTTTTACTGTGTAGCCATTAAGTCATTATTTTATCTTTTTGTTAACACAGCAATGTTTGTGTTCAAAATAAATCACTTTTCATTTTTTCATTTTACATTGTGCGTATTATTTGATTAGTTTGAACTTCTGTCCAGACTGTGTAAGTAATTAGATACACGTGTAAATAATGCTCATTCTCACCACCAGGTGCCAGTAGTTACCTGTATTGAAATAGGAATATTCTAATGTATTTGCTACCTTTCCCATACACGAAATCATTTATGGTGGAATTATTTTTAAATAATTTTAGAAAGGGGTTAAATATACTGTTTTTTTAATAAAAGAATATTGACTGTAAATGACCTACATTTATCATAACTTTAAAATATTGCTACTGTGTTTACTTGGTGCCAAAGTGATTTCTTTGTTATAGAAATATGCTATATTCTTCATGGTCTTCATGATCATAGTTTGCACATTTCAAGAATTATTTCCAATAAATAGATTTGGTCAATCCATTAATGTTTTTGTATGTCGACTTGCAGGCCAGGCATATGGGTGTTTTGTCATATGTCATCATTTTATCAAACAAATGAATGAAAATAAATGGTAAAAGCACACGTGTCACTGGAAATATTCCGATTTGTATTCTACATTTACGGTATCGCCTGCAGAAATTGTCCTTGCAGATAATTAAATATATAATGCAGGGATGTAGATTTCTTTATTAGCTACCTGCTGCTGCTGAATGTGTTGTCATTATCAACCTTTATTCCCACCTGCAATTTACTCTAACCTTTTCCAATGTGCAGAGCTTCATTTCTTTTTAACTATAATTGATGAGAAGGCATGGAATCAATTAGGGCCGCTGTTACAACTGTGTGCCGAGATGGAGACATCTTTTTGGTCCCTTTGGTCCCAGCTGCCTTGTGGTGGATATTGCTGTATCCATTTGAGCAGTGCCTGGAGGCTGGCCCTGTCACAGCTGATTGCAGGAGATATGCATGTGTAATGTGATTTGGCCTCCCCAGGACCTGGATGAGTGAGTGGCCGCTGCAGGTATGGAGGGCCGGTTGGACGGTTGGACTCTGGGCCGGACGGAGGTAAAGGTCAGCGGAGACAAGCTGCTGTGAAACTGTTAAAGCTGAAGTGACACCGGGAGTGGCCCCACATGAACAGGTGCACCCACGCCCAGGGCACAGGACCGGGGCACAAGTTTGGCATTTGGGACGATTTAATGTGTCTGTGAGGAAAATGAACAATAGTGGGGATTGTTTCGGATAAATCTGACGACATAGAGAAGAATGTCTTTTTATGTAGCCTTAAACGGTCAACTCAAAGGACTTTACAAAGTAGTCACCAACGACAGATCAGAGATTTAAACAAAACAGGAAATGCCATAAGGACAGACACATAGGTGCCATTGGTCCATAGACGACCACCATACATACTAATACATGTGTATAAATGTCTCGAGTCATTACTGTCCTTAGACCCTTAAGAAGGATTCTTTAAAATTTTTTACAAAAAAACCTGAGACACCGGAAAGGCCCAAAGTGAAAGCAGTGTTTGCAGACAGGCTTTAGTTGTGGATACAGGACTGAAGTGGTAGATCCAGAACTGAAGAGGCTCCCAATATCCTGTAAAAATGTAACAAGTATCAGACAAATAAAAATAGGACTGAATTGAGGATGCACTGCAAAAACTATACATTATAAGATAGGTAATTTAGGATTTTATTTAGGTTAATTATTAAATGAACAATTACTTGCCTTGATTAATCAGAAATATCATAACCCATTCAAACTGTGTGTAACTGTTGCACATCAAGCCCCAAAACGACTTGTTCTCAGCATTGTGCCAACACTGATTTGAAGGCCATAATATGATTTAGTATTTAACTATTTAAAAGGCTTTGAAAACAGACAACACCGCTGTGGAGGTGGAGGAGTCAAAAAACCTCTTAAACCTGGATGAGAGAAGTCTGTAAGGTTCTAGGAAAAACCAAAATCCAAGGCTCTCTGGTTAGAAAAGGTTATGTTTAAAATATGTAATGTTTTTTGGCTTATTAAATTAAAGTTTTTTTCAAATATTTATTAGATACACAACTAACAATATATAAAGATTAATCTAGGATCCGTATTTGATATACTAATTTTTCTTGTTTTTTTTAACTCAAACTGAGGATTTTCTTGGCCCATTGAGAAAGAAAAAACTTTCAAGACTGTTCAAGGACAAGGATAAAATTAAATGAACTTTTTTGTAAATTTCTGCAGCACCTCTGAAAGCTCACAGCGAGAGGTTTGTTTTTGTTTTGTAGCTCTGGTTATGTGTTTCTGTTTCCTGTTTCATATAAACTTAGCAGACAATCTGAACTAAGTCAATTTATCAGTATCTGTAATAGGAATTTAAATACTACAAATGATCAAAGCAACATCTGAAACTTCTCAGAGTGTAAACTGTACATAGAAGATTTGTTTTGTAAACTAGAGTTCTGATTTATATTTCTATTTTAATATCAAAATATATTTAGATAGATAGATAAGTATCCTTATATTGAATGACATACCTCAGCTTGGAATTCACAGGGCAAATCAAAGCGTTCTCTTGGCGGGGCTCACAGCCGCCGAAAAGATGATTGCCACAAGGTGGAAGCCCCCTCGCTTTAGTCACATTTTTATCTTTTATATTTTTATCTTTCTTTTTAATGTACTGTGATTATTTATTATTTATTTATTTTAATGCTTTCTTGTTTTGTTCAGCACTTTGAGTTGCCTTGTGTATGAATTGTGCTAAACAAATAAACTTGCCTTGCCTTGCGTTGCCTTAGTGGATACTATCAAGTACTATCAACATCACGCAACTATTTAGAGGAACATTTTCACTGATTTTGTTTTTGGCCCTGAATGTTTTTGATTAAAATATATTAAAAAAAATAAACTATATGTACAGTGTTTGTAACAGTTTCTGTGCAAGGAAGTTGTCATTAAGTGTCATCTTTACGCATAAATTAGTCAATGCCACTCGGGTTGCCTTTTCCTTATACTCAAAGCAACACAGGCTGTTACTTCTGAAGACTTATTTTGAAAGTTGGAAGGTTTTATTTTATTTTATTATGACAAATTCCTGTCTTTCCCGTGGTGAAAAGCAACAAGCTTTCCAACTGTCCCGATCCGGGACCTGACTCGCCTTTTCGACACAGGTCAAAAAACAGTGTTTTTCATTTTGCTCTAACATGAGGCTGCAGTTCTGGCAGCTTTCACAAGTGTAAGAGTTCAAGATTCGGTTTATTTTTACTCATTATACATTTGTTAGTTCAGGGATATTTTGGGAAGTATTGCACTGGAGAGACACATTTATGTTGGCTTTATGTTGACTTTTCTGTCTGAAATAACAGGATACATGGATGTGTATATTTGACCATGCAGGGCTTTTGTCTTTTATGACAAACACATTTCAGATTGCTAATCAATATCCCAGGTGTTAAAATGCCCATGGATAACACAAAAATTTGACTGATGCGTCGCAGGTAATTAGATAAAAGTAATAATTCATTTTAAGAACACGTACACCTGGACTTTTTGACATTTACAGTACGTCTTCTTCAACCAAACTGAGAAAAATATTGTGATTAGCCTTTAGACCCTCACGCAGCTGGTGGCATCTCTGGAAAGTTATAGTGTTTTCCGAGTAGGAACAGAGCCTGGCAGATTAATTATCATTTTGCAACAATGAACCTGTGGAATTTGAGGCAAACATGGCTCCAGTCCAGCCCAGAGTTATGTGCCTTTAACAGACAGAGGGAATGGGCAAAGGGAGAAGACTTTCACTTCACCGGGATCATGATTAAGTACAAAAGTATGCAAAAACTGTGGTACAGAAGAAATGTAATCCTTTCATTTTGATCTTGATATCATGTGCAATAAGTAAATTAAATAAGTATAGATAGACATGTGGTTTCTCAGTAATGTCAATGTCAAATTTGTTTAGCACATTTAAAACACCGGCTGCCCAAAGTGCACAAAAAGATAAAAAGTAAAAAGAAATCTGTATCAATTGGTAGATGAGGGGAATCCCATACAGTATTCTGCTATATTTACATCTG